GTGAGCAAACCTGCAAAATCAGCAAGGGCTCAAATACTTATTTCCCCCACTGTAGCTCCCTTTGGAAATGTTGGTTCCCTTACAGTCTGTCTTTATGGGGGTGATGGAGGTCTGGGGGTGATTTATTTATTGATTGATTATGTCTCAGGGCTGTTTGCGCTCCCTCTTGGTGAGCAGGTAACACTGGATGGTTCTCAGCCGGTCTTTGGCCGGAGCAAACTCTGGCTGCAGCTTCAGGGTGGATTCGTACCAGCGCATGGCTTTCTCAAACTCCTCCTGAGAGCCAGGGAAAAAACAAAAAAAAAAACAAGTCAAGTCAAGGAGGCTTTAGTGTCAAGTCCTCTTTAAAAACTAATTTATTTGACATGGCTTTCTCAAACTCCTCCTGAGAAAAGAAAAGTCAAGTCAAGTAGGCTTTATTGTTAATTTCTTACTTGTATTAAGTTCTTCTTGTCTTCATCAGTGTTAGTCATGCTTTTTGTTTTCTTCGGGTCAGACAACAATAATCCACAACAGTGTTTTTCTTTAAGTCCTCTTCAAAAACTAATTTATTTGACATGGCTTTTAACATTTTAACCTTAGGTTGAGGTAGAGCGCCTTTTTACCTCTTTATTTTACATTAAAATCACATATATATGTAAATTATGTTAGTTTTTTATGTTTGTTTTTAGCTGTACAGGTTATTTTAAATGTGCTCTATAAATAAAATGTGACTTGACTTGACTTATTTGTAGACATATCTGTTCTTTTGTAGATAAGACTGGGAATAAGTCAAGTCAGGTCAAGTCAAGTAGGCTTTAGTGTCAATTTTTTACATGCGCTGGTCATACAATCAATCAATGTTTATGTATATAGCACTTTACAACGACCAGGGCTGACTAAAACACAAATACATTGGTGACTGAACCCAGTTTACAGAGACTTACGTGCAAAACGCCATTGTGAACAAATGCGTTTTAAGATTAGCTTTGAACAGAGGAAAGAAAGAATTGAAATTGCGTTTTTCTTGCTTTCCCATGCAGACATAGACATAGATTTAGGTGTGGACAAAGCTCTGGGACAGCCTTTTAATATAAGATCTGCCCAGACCCTAGAGGTGTTTAAGTCCTCTTTAAAAACTCATTTATTTGACATGGCTTTTAACATTCTAACCTTAGGTTGAGGTAGAGCTCCATTTTACATCTTTATTTTACATTAAAATCACATATATTTATGAAAATTATGTTCGCTTTTTATGTTTATTTTTAAACGTACAGCACTTGTGTGAACTTATAAATTTGAAAAATACTTGTTATGTGTAAACCTTGGATATAGGCAGGCCATCTGTAACCTTAGAACAAACAAGACTAGAATCCCTAAAGTCACTGGTCGGTATAAAGGTTTAGAGAGAAAGTTAAGATTATGTCAACTGTGTTGGAGATGAGTATCATGTTCTGTTTGAGTGTAAAAATGTAGAAATATGCCGTTACAGAGAGAAGTATTTTCCACAGTATTATGTGAAGAGCCCATCAGTGTTTAAAATGGTTTCATTATTTCAGTCTGGAATAAAGAAAATCATTTGTAAGTTGGGTGCCTTTTTGAAATGGGTCCTCCCATTATATCGATGATGTCATAGTTTTAATGTATATGCGTTACTTTGTTCTGTTATATTTATTGTTTGTGCTCCAAACCATGTATATGGTCATGGGCAATTACAATTTTTTTTAAATTTAATTGAATCGGAAATGGAGCCGCAGCTTTACTTCCCGGTTAAATCTGTGAGGCTGGAGGGACAAAGAAAAGTCAAAGGAGACACGGAGACTGAGCTTCTGCTGGTTACCATGGCGATGTAGACGTTGGCGAGGGTGAAGTGGTTCACTACGAAGTGCGGGGCGATCTCCACGGCCATGCGGGCCACCGTCAGCGCGTCCTCCCACAGACGCGCGTTCTGGAAGATGTTGGCCAGGCTGATGAGGGGAACGTCCTGTTCCACCAGGAAAACAAAGGGAGAAAAACACTAAGTTAGGGCTGTCACAGTACTAAAACGCTCAACTCCATACCGATACTCAGGAAAATACTGGTACCACAAGGATAAAAACAAAGACCCCAAAATTTAACTTAATTTCTACAGGTTAGGGTCTTTTTAGGGTTGTCAAAAGTATCGATACTCAAAAAGGTATCGATACTAAACCGTTGTATCCGGATACGATACTCATTTTAAAAAGTAAAAATTCAGTCTTTGTTTTTATCCTTGTGGTATCAAGTATCGAATATTTTCCTGAGTATCGGTTTCGAGTTGAAAATGTTAGTGTCGTGACAACCCTAGTGTCTTTGGTTTCAAACTGAAATAGGTCAGTTTAAAACAAAAGACACTAGGGTCCTCACGGTACTAAAACGGTCAACTCCATACCGATACTCAGGAAAATACTCGATACCATTCTCAATACCACAAGGATAAAAACAAAGACCCCAAAATGAAACTGAATTTCAACAGTCTTTTAGGGTTGTCAAAAGGTATCGGTACTAAACCGTAGTGTATCTGGATACGATTCTCATTTTAAAAAGTAAAATTTCTGTTAAATTTTGGGGTCTTTGTTTTTATCCTTGTGGTATCGAATATTTTCCTGAGTATCGGTATCAAGTTTGAAATTTTAGTATCATCACAACCCTAGTGTCTTTCATTTCAAACTGACCTATTACTGTCTTATTGGTGTCTTAGATTATTGATGTTATGGTGGCCGGTGGCCAGTTTAATGTTATTATTAGCCGTTAGCCGCAGCTAGCAATTCAACGCTAACATCACGTTAATGATCATAAACAACGTAAATAAACAAATAAATCAGAGAGAAGGGGGGTATCGATACTTTGGAAAATGAGTATCGTATCCCGATACAACGGTTTAGTATCGATACCTTTTTGAGTATCGATACTTTTGACAACCCTAAAAGACCCTAACCTGTCGAAATTGTGCTAAATTTTGGGGTCTTTGTTTTTATTCTGTAACTTGTTCTAGGCTTGTCAAAAGTATACAGTGGGGGAAATAAGTATTTGAGCCCTTGCTGATTTTGCAGGTTTGCCCACTTACAAAGAATGCTTATTTTTCCTCATCAGATGGTTATCAATTTTTATAAAATCATATGATGTGATTTTCTGGAATTTTCTTTGGGATTCTGTCTTTCAGTGTTAGAATAGTTCAGTTTAAAACAAAAGACACTAGGGTTGTCACGATACTAAAATGTTCAACTCAATACAGATACTCAGGAAAATACTCAATACCATTCTCGATACCACAAGGATAAAAACAAAGACCCCAAAATTTAACTTAATTTCTACAGGTTAGGGTCTTTTTAGGGTTGTCAAAAGTATCAATACTCAAAAAGGTATCGATACTAAACCGTTGTATCCGGATACGATACTCATTTTAAAAAGTAAAAATTCAGTCTTTGTTTTTATCCTTGTGGTATCAAGTATCGAATATTTTCCTGAGTATCGGTTTCGAGTTGAAAATGTTAGTATCGTGACAACCCTAGTGTCTTTCATTTCAAACTGACCTATTACTGTCTTATTACTGTCTTATATTACTGACGTTATGGTGGCAGCTTTAATGTTGTTATTAGCCGTTAGCTACAGCTAGCAATTCAAAGCTAAAATCACCTTAATGCTCTTAAACAACGTAAATAAATCAGACAGAAGGGGCGCGCGGGGGGGTATCGATACTATTGAAAATGAGTATCGTATCCGGATACAACGTTTTAGTACCAATGCTTTTTTGAGTATCTATACTTTTGACAACCCTAGAACCAGTACAGGCTAAAAACAAAGACCCCAAAATTGAACAGAATTTCGACAGGTTAGGGTCTTTTAGGGTTTTCAAAGGTATCGATACTAAACCGTTGTATATGGATACGATTCTCATTTTAAAAATGAGAAATTCAGTTAAATTTTGGGGTCTTTGTTTTTTTTCCTTGTGGTATCGAATATTTTCCTGAGTATCTGTATGGAGTTGAACATTTTAGTATCGTGACAACCCTAGTGTCTTTCGTTTCAAACTGAATTATTTCTGTCTTATTACTGTCTTAGATTACTGATGTTATGGCCGCTTTAATGTTATTATTAGCC